GACTTAGATGGTTTTTGAGCAGGCAGCTTGACTCCACGTCACAGGGTGAGAGCTGTAGAACAAACAGTTACAGAAGCAAAACCCAGCATACAGCCCAGTGAGTGAGTTTAGACACAGAGGAAAAGTGAAGACCAGTTGCTACAGCTGGAAAAACAGGCTTTCATGCACATACATTTCTTACAGTACTCCTTATGGACCAATTCTGATCCCATCTGTCTACATTTCAGTCTATTTCAGCTTTCAGAGCTGAGGAGTCCACAAAACTTACATAGATATTTACATGCACGTAAGTCTAAATATTATACCCATACATAGATAAGCTAAAAAAACCCAACCCAATACACAAATTTCTATGCATCTGCTCTGAAGAACTTTACTTTTCAAACTGTACAATTTGCTGAACTCTTCAGAGGTGAGATTGTTTTATGACTTAATGATTAAGTTCTGTTTTTACTGTTCTTATGCACTGTCCTGAAAAGCTCCTGGGTTACTAATGCCTACTAATCCCTACCAGAACAGCAGAAGGGCTGCTCTGACAGGCTGACTCTTACCTCCCATGCATAGAGGATGTGCCTCAGCCCCAGCTGCTTGTAATCAATGAAGGGATTTTTTCTTAGGTGACTGAAAGCCATTTGGTAATCAGAGAGAGCTTCTTCATACCTGCAGTGTGGAGATTACAGAAGAACATGAGACTAGAAAAACTAAATACCGTTTAAGAAGTTTGCCTGTGCAATCCTCATGAGGTTCAACAAGACCAAGTACCAGGTCCTGTCTCTGGGTTGGGGCAATCTCAAGCACAAACACAGGCTGGGGAGAAAGGGGATGGAGCAGGCTGAGGGGAAGAACTTGGGGGTGTTGGGTGAGGAGAAGATCCCCAAGACCTGGCTTCAGTGTGTGCTTGATTCCAAAACCTCCCTGTGCTGGGCTGCACCCCCAGAGCATGAGCAGCAGCTCAGGGAGGGGATCCTGCCCCTCTGCTGTGCTCTGGGGAGACCCCCCCCTGCAGCCCTGATCCAGCTCTGGGGCAGCAGCACAAGAGGGACGTGGAGCTGTTGGAGCGAGGCCAGAGGAGGCCATGGAGATGCTGCGAGGGCTGGAGCAGCTCTGCTCTGGAGCCAGGCTGAGAGAGCTGGGCTGGGGCAGCCTGGAGAAGAGAAGGCTCCTGAAGGGGAGACCTTAGAGCAGCTCCAGTGCCTAAAGGGGCTGCAGGAAAGCTGGAGAGGGGCTTGGGACAAGGGCCTGTAGGGACAGGCCAAGGGGAATGGCTTGAACCTGCCCGAGGGGAGACTGAGCTGAGCTCTTAGGCAGAAGCTCTTCCCTGTGAGGGTGCTGAGGCGCTGGCACAGGGTGCCCAGAGGAGTGGAGTGAAGCAGCTTGGACCACCCCTGATCACAGCTCTGCTGCAGAGGCGCAGAGCTTGTAGCTGCTTGAGAGGCAGCTATGGGTGCAGAACTGCTCAGTTTATCTCCCTCCCAGAAATAAAGGTAGTCATTTTGTCAAAATTAAGGTCTGGAAAATATGGGGAAAATAACAGGAAGAGAATAACTGAACATGAAGGTAAGAGGGATCTGCAAAATCGTCCACCCACCTGTCTGAGCACGATGTCACTGTGATTTAACTGTGCAAACAATGAGTAATCAATCCCATGACATTAGTGGAGCAATCCCAACATAAATCAAGGAGCCTGATATTTGGCCCACAAAATCTGCTCTTAGCAGAGACTGGGAGTTGGGCACTTTGGTGCAACTAGATGTGTAGGGAGGCCAGACTCAGGGGTCCCATGTGAACATACACCAAGCAGCATAATTATGTATTTTCATTCCCAAGCAAATCTGAAGGGCAACGTGAATCCTGGCAGGGCCCCCGCAGCTCCCCCAACTCTCCCCCAGGAGGAGCTTCTTTCTCTCTGTGTATGGGACAGTAATATCATGTATTAGCCACCCTTGGGGCTGGGAGTTGTGCAGATCCTGTCTTCTCAGCTTTATCAGAGATAAGACTTGCTGACTTCTGACATGGTTTACAAGGTCAAACTGGACCTTAAGAACCCTTTAAGACTGCTGGAAGAAGTGAATTTTAGAATCACAGAATTAAGTCTGACTAAAAGGAGAAAACTGAAGACTGAAGCAGACATGCACCTTACCTTAGCAGCTGCAGATGGACAAACCCCCTCTGAAAGAAGCCAACAGCTAGAGAGCTGTCCTTGGCAATGGTGTCATCGAATGCCTGAGGAGAAAAACAGACACATCATAGAATCACAGACTGGTTTGGGTGGGAAGGGACCTTAAAATTGATCCAGTTCCAACCCCCTGCCACAGACAGGGGCACCTTCCATTTGTCCTTGTCCCAAGCCCCTCTCCAGCTTTCCTGCAGCCCCTTTAGGCACTGGAGCTGCTCTAAGGTCTCCCCTTCAGGAGCCTTCTCTTCTCCAGGCTGACCCAGCCCAGCTCTCTCAGCCTGGCTCCAGAGCAGAGCTGCTCCAGCCCTCACAGCATCTTTGTGGCCTCCTCTGGTCTCTCTCCAACAGCTCCATGTCCCTCTTGTGTTGTTGCCCCAGAAGATCACAAGGATCGGTTTGCATCTCTCCTGCTGATGTCTGGGTGTGTGCATCCAGGCAGCCACATCCGAACTGCTCTTGTGCTGGGTGCAGCTGTGCTTGTGACCAACTCCCCAGCACTGACAAGCTCAGGGCTGTGATCTGGACAGGAGGCAGCTCCCAGTTGAGGTCTTGGCTCTGTATGACCTGAGCTTCAGGTTTTTATCCTTCCTTGGTAAAATGGACTGGACTTAAATGAGCTACGTTTGCAATCCAGCATCTTTAATGGGAAAACTGTGCTGCCTGGAGCAGACTTTGCCCTGACAGTGGGAGCAGCAGGACTAGCCAGGCTTTGGAAGGCTGTTTGAAGCAGGCTGTGGTGATGAGTGTGTGAAAAGATGCAAAGGAGAAAACTGAATGGCTTCACACAATGCACCTCTAAGTCGATATTTCTGGTCCAGTTTCACAGCTAAGTACAGGCAAGTATTAGCGAAGTTGGCAGCAGCTCATGGCTGATGGTTCTAAGTAACACTGTGCTGGGAAAACAGTGCCTTTGAGAGAGCTAGGAGGTGTGCTCCTTCACTTACCATTTCAAGGGGATGGTGTGGAGGAAATAAATCAAGCCTGAAACTCCAGACTTTCCTGATACTGCCTAGAAAAGGATAGCATTGCAGGGGTGAAAATATGTTGCAGGAGGTCAGGGAGGGACTGCACATTATGGTGCTGGCTTTTCCTGTAACTCAAAACACCTTATTTAACAATCTGCTTTACTGTGCTATAAAAGACCTTGTCCCTGCCCATGGTAGAGGGGTTAGAAATGGATGATCTTTAGGTCCTTTCCAACCCTAACTATTGTATGATTCTAAAACAACAACCAACCGTTGTCCTACATAGAACTACAGCTGAGATTCTTCCCAGTCAGCACCCATCCATCACTAAAGAGTCTCTCTGAGCACCACTGTGCTGCACTCGCTGTTGTCCCTTATAGCAAGAACCCTGCCCAGGCCCCATGGCTCTGCCCCAGCACTTCCAGCACAGCATGAGCTCTTCTTTATGCATTAAGAAATGGTTTATGTGCCTCTCTTCACCAGGCAGCTGAGACACAGACAGAAAGATGTGCAAACATGCCAGGCGCTGTAAGAAAAAGGCTTCTCCTGAGGGCCCTTGCCCGCCCCAGCACAGTCTCCTGCTCTCCCTTGCCGAGGGCAGCGCTTTTCCAGCAGAGCAGTTTCTTTTTGGCAGCCTTGACTGCTTGTGCAGGACTATCTGAGGACACACGTGGCTGCAGGGTGCTCACTCTTTGTCCACCACCTCCCACATTCCTGCTATTAGTGGGACGTGCAGGTCACCACCACAATAGGGACGTGGAGCTGTTGGAGCGAGGCCAGAGGAGGCCACGGAGATGCTGCGAGGGCTGGAGCAGCTCTGCTCTGGAGCCAGGCTGAGAGAGCTGGGCTGGGGCAGCCTGGAGAAGAGAAGGCTCCTGAAGTGGAGACCTGAGAGCAGCTCCAGTGCCTAAAGGGGCTGCAGGAAAGCTGGAGAGGGGCTTGGGACAAGGGCCTGTAGGGACAGGCCAAGGGGAATGGCTTGAACCTGCCCAAGGGGAGACTGAGCTGAGCTCTTAGGCAGAAGCTCTTCCCTGTGAGGGTGCTGAGGCGCTGGCACAGGGTGCCCAGAGAAGCTGTGGCTGCCCCATCCCTGGCAGTGTTCAAGGCCAGGTTGGACACAGGGGCTTGGAGCAAGCTGCTCCAGTGGAAGGGGTCCCTGCCCGTGGCAGGGGTTGGAGCTGGAGGAGCTTTAAGGTCCCTTCCAACACAAACCAGGCTGTGATGGGAAACGCTGGGGTTTAGCACCTGTCTCAGCTATAGTCTCTCAGTGATGCACTCCGGCAGCCGCGCCCCCATCCCGGCCCCTCGGGCCCCCGCTCCCGTCGCTCACCTTGAGCGCCGCCTCGGGCCGCCCCGCCAGCAGGTGCACGCAGCCCATGTTGAAGCAGATCCTGGCCGGGGGTCCCGGGATACCGGCGAAGATGTCGAGGGCAGTATCCCAGTCCCCGCCGTCGGCCGCCAGCACTCCCTGGTGCCATCGCCTCACCAGCTCCCGGTAGGCCATGGCCGGCGGCAGCTCCCGCTCCGGGCTGCCCCGGTGTCCGTGGCTCGGCTTCACCTGCAGGGCGGGGAAGGGCGGGGCAGGAAGTTCTCCTGTCCCTGTCCGCCCTCCCCTTCTCCGTCCAGCCCCGAGGGGAGCACCGGGGCGCGGACACCGAAGTGCCCGGAGATAGAGGAAATGCCGGTGGCTACAGCTGGGGGAGGGAACCGAGGGGGTTCTTGTCGCGGCCATATTTTATTGCGCGTTATTCGCAGTAATTACGGTAGCGCGGCCGCTCTCGGGTATTTACGGTAATGCCTCCCGCCCGCCCCGCTGCCACGGGCGACACTGCCCCCTGCCGGCGCGTCCACGAGTGCCCCCAGAAAAGAAGCCCGATGGGGGCGTGGGGCTACCCAATAAAGGTTCCGTGTCCGGTTCCGTTTGCCGCACGCAGCGGGAAACGAGAGCGACAGGGAAGGTTCTGAGCGGCGGACTCTGGTGTTCACCTCGCCGCTTCTGGGCCGGTGCTAGGTGAGTGGCAGGAGGCGGCGGCTGCGCGCGGCCGCTCCGGGTGTGCGCGCTCCGCAGCCGAGAGAAAGCCACGAAGCGGCTCTGGGGCTCCCCGCGGGGCGGGAGCGGGGGCTCCGGGCGCCTCGGGGGGGGTCGCGGTGGGGCAGGGTTTGGGGCTCTGCGTGGGCCTTGGCCGGGGCTCCCTGAGGTAAAGCGCGGGCTAGGGACACTGACTGCTTTTCGCCCCCTCCCTGGCGGGCGGCTCCGGGCGGGGGCTGGAAGGGGAGGCGCGGAGGGGAGCGGGGCTGCGCTGGGGAGGTAGCCATAAGCCCTGTCAGGAGTCGCGGGAGCCTGGCAGCCCTGGAGAGCTACCGCACTGATTACGGGGGTAATTGGAGTAATTACAAGCCATCAACGGAAGCCAGAGAGTTTTCTGGCGGTCGCGTTACGGGCAACCGCGGAAGTGTGATTTCAGAGTGCCTCGTCCTAAACTGGTTTTGATCCTGTCACTGACTTCAAATGTTTTGAAAGATGGAGAAGAAAGCCAGAGGGATTGGAAGTACCTCGAGCGTTGTCCACACATGCGGAAGGGTTAAAAGTGTTTGTTACCGTGATGTCAGTAGCCGGAACAAAAATTAACATGAGCAGATAGCGCTTTGCACATAATTCTGTAGTATAAGTGCAGTGAATGTGGAGAGTACAGGTGAAACAGCATAGGCTTTAAGGAAGAGTTGTGCACCCTTTCTCGGTGTTCTTTCCTGAAAGCGGATTTCATGATGTGATGAATTCAACTGATGGTGTCGCTGGTATCACACATTTGAAGCACTCTCTCTGAGGAATCTGACCCTAATGTGACCTGCCCGTTTAATGGAACAGAGGTCGTGGCTTGGGGCAGCAGCACAGAACTGAAGAATGACCTTAGGAACAAGCCCTGTGCCTTGTTAATTGGAAGACATAAACGAGTTGGTTGTTTCTGCTCAGCTCTTCCACGTACCAGTTCTTTGTTCCAACACTAATACTGACTTCAGTTATTTAAAAGAAGGTTTATAACCTTCACACTGTTAAGATTTACTGATACTGACAAGGTGTGACTGCTGTAGCCTGCTCTGACCTTCCTGGGATCTTAATGTAATGAAAAAGACTGTGTGCGGTTTAGAAACCAGGACAGGTTCCTACCTCAGACACAGGTGGTGGAGAGCGACACGCAGGGCTCAGTTACACAGTGATGCAATTTGAACTTTGCTGTTGTGGGAGGAGCTGATTCCATTATTGGGTATTTTTGCTTTTTGTAAAGAGAATCGTGGTGGGGTGATGATGTGTGTGCACATGGTGGGGTTACAATGGGCTGCTGGCACCGAGTCTGCAGTTCCAGGAGTTCCCAAATAAGAGATGGAAATAATGAATAGTTCAGAGAAGGCCACAGAAATGTTCTGGTCCTGGCAAACAAGCCATGAAACGGACTTACTGAACTCAGTGTATTCAGGCCCATCCAAGGCGAGAGGGTTCAGGAGTGACTCAGCCACTCTGGAAGTTGATGCCTATGGGAGAGTAATCTGATAGCTGGGTGTTTTCAGCCTTCCCAGTGAAGGCCTAACAAGATCCTGTAACTTAAAGTCAAAGCTACACAAATTCTTTTAAATATGACATAATTTCCTGGCATTGGGGGGTTAATTCCAGGAATGGTTCATGGGAGAGGGAAAAGGCTTGTTGTGATTTGGAGCTCTTCAGCTGGAATGATAATGAATTTGAAGATGGACTTAAACCTGAGACATTGGGCAGTTTGCTGGTATGAGGTGCCTATGTGGTTGGGGGAGATGGTGAGATTATCAGTGAGTCACCTTCTGGGCTCTACTTCTGGGCTGCAGAAATAGTAGGACTTTTTTAATGTTGCTTCGAGGGCTGTAGTTACATGTTAAGATGAAATCTTTATGCTTTTGGATGACCTTCTGCTTCAAGGGGATTTCCACATGCTGTTCTTCCAGAGCACAGTTAGGTTAAGGGAGTGTTTGTTGAAATCACCAGTTTGGCCACAGAGAGCAGACATCAGGTTGTGCCATGCTAGTTCAGGGAATCTCCTCCCTCATCTACTGTGTCTTCCCCAGATGTCTGCAGCATGATCCAGATTTGATGTAGGAAGGGATTTGTTAAGGTATCATACAAGTTTTTCACCCTCAGCAAAGGCAAGGTTTCCATGCTGGGACTTTCTGCCAACACTGTTTTTATCTCTTCACATTTCTGTAAAGGATTTTGGGATTGACTCCCTCTGAAATGATGACTTTTAAGAAATTAATTAATAAATCTCCCCGTACCTCTGTGAGCATGAAACTCTGTCTTATGGAGTTCTGTGTCTTCTGGTGTGTGTCAGGTTTTATGTGTGCATCCCTGGTTTAATATATAAAACAGGCACCTGCCCATGGCTGTGTGTCAGCTTTTTGGCTCAAGCGTTCCTATTAGCCATGTCTTCTGGTTCCTTGTCTTTCCTCACTGTAAATGCAAATAATCAGGTGGGAATAACCAGATTTCAGCATGTGGAATAGAACCAGGAAAATGCACGTTCTGGGATGTGAATGATCCATCAGAAAACTTCTGCTGCAGGTTTTCAAGTCAGTAATGCTGTTAATAGGCATTGTGACACTCACCTGCATGAAATTTTGGTGGTCCTCACTGTTTGGCAGTTGCAGCAAACTTCTCAGCTCTCTCTGCTGGGGGAGTTGAATATGCTGCTTGCATAAAGCCACATTAGCCAAATGTGTGGTGCATGAAGCACATGCAGAATCCCAGACTGGTTTGTATTGGAAGGGACCTTAAAACTCATCCAGTTCCAGCCCCTGCCACGGGCAGGGACACCTTTCACTGGAGCAGCTTGCTCCAAGCCGCTGTGTCCAACCTGGCCTTGAGCACTGCCAGGGATGGGGCAATCACAGCTTCTCTGGGCACCCTGTGCCAGTGCCTCAGCACCCTCACAGGGAAGAGCTTCTGCCTAAGAGCTCCTCTCAGTCTCCCCTCTGGCAGGTTCAAGCCATTCCCCTTGGCCTGTCCCTACAGGCCCTTGTCCCAAGCCCCTCTCCAGGTTTCCTGCAACCCCTTTAAGCATGGGAGGTCTCCCCTTCAGGAGCCTTCTTTTCTCCAGATAAAGAAATAGTTGGACAGAGATGTTTCATTGGAATTAGGAGTGGTGTTCTCCTGAACCAGGTTTTAATATTTTGATTCAAAAGTGAATTATTGAGTTTGTGTCTTTTTAAATAGAAGTTCTTTTTTTTTGGTAGCACTCTGCAGATGCTCAGTGCCATAACAGCTTCTCCAGCAGCTCCTTTGTAATCATGTGCATTGAGGGAAAGGATGGCCATGGGGGAGCTTTGTAGTGTGAAAGGAGTAGAATGGCAGTGACAGGAAGAAGAGTTAGGCTGTACTGAACATTATGCTATTTCACATGTTCATCTTTGAGTTAATGTGTAGGGATGTGTATGAGTTAATGTGTAACTGACAGGAAGAAGAGTTAGGCTGTGCTGAACATTATGCTTTTTCACATGTTCATCTTTGAGTTAATGTGTAACTGATGCAGTGTAGGGAGAGCTATGGGAGACATCAGTGGTAAAGGCTGAAAATTCTTGGGGGAAAGATGAAAGAGGGGAGTGTGTGTGTGTGTGTGTGTGTGTGTGTTTGAGATGAAGGAGGGCTGGAGAGAAACTCCAGTTAGGTTTTGATCAAAAGAGAAGTCTGGGAAGCTGTTTTCCCAGAGGATAGAAGTCTTGTTTCTTCTCTGGATCCATGTGGAGGTTTGCTGTTGCAGTGGGCCCAAATAGCAGTAACTTGGGCCTGGATGGTGAGAGCCTCATCCAGCTCTTTGAGGTCAAGAGTGGGATGTCCTTTCCCAGCTGTGCCAGCCACCTGCTGGATGATTTGGGGCAAATGATGTTTTGTGGTCTGCAGCTAAAAATCAAGCAAGAAAACCCTGTGTATGTAATGAGCAGCTTAGTTTGTCTCAGCTTTGCCACACGCTTGGGATGATGCTCTAGACATAATTTAGTGTTGGCCCTATGTTGAGATAGACCTGTTTGAAGGTTGAGGCAAAGACATTTCCATAGAAGAAAACCCCAAATCATGTGTTACTAATTCTCATAGAATAACCCTTTTTGCAGTGTCTTTTCTCGTGACTTCTACAGTGTCTTTGCAGCCACAAATAGGTGAAGCTAAAGACTGAGTCTTTTGCAATCTGATCAGACCAGAAGCAGATAAAAACCCTTCAACTTTCACCTGATCTCATATAAAGCATGAGTCCTGTTCCTTCTCTGACCACTGGCATGAATTTGTGTGTTCCCTGTACTTCAGGTACAACATGGTGTCACTGGAGGTGAGCTCTGACCTATGTTGTTGAGCTTGGCATTACTGTGATTCCCATTACATGTTACCAGGCTAGAGCAGAAGAGCCTCTCACTCTCCATGGGTTTCTGACCTTCAGATTCCTCCTTGTCTCCAGCTCTGCCAGGGATATGGTCACACTTCGTGTTAAGTCTGCACATGTGGCTTCCATCAATTTGGGCAGTTATTTTCTGATTCAGATAATGCTGTTTTTCCTCACTTTATGGCAGTCTGTACCCATACAGTGCAATTTATTCTTTGCTGTTCCTCATCTTGCTTTCAAAAAGCAGAATACTTTACAAAGTATTGTAAAGTATACAAAGTATAACTGTGCATGTAAATACAAAGTATTGTAAAGTATACAAAGTATAACTGTGCATGTAAATACAAAGTATTGTAAAGTATACAAAGTATAACTGTGCATGTAAATACAAAGTAAAGTATACAAAGTATAACTGTGCATGTAAATACAAAGTAAAGTATACGAAGTATAACTGTGCATGTGGTTCAGTTACTAGTTTCACAGGGTTTTTTTTCTTTTACATCTCTCTGTGCTGAAACTTGCTGCTGTATGGTTCAAAAAGCACTTTATGGTCATTTTTGATTGTCGCACAAATTCATTGAGCTTTGCGTGGGTTACATGTGCATGGACTAAAAGTCTGTTTCACTGCCCATCACTGCTGATCTTTGTAATGTCCAGCTCTGCCTGAAGGAATTATTCCTTATTCCTCAAGGAATAAGCTGTTATGTCAGGAGAGGAGTTGGCTGGAGCACAGCAGTGCTGTGAGAGGGGGTTGAGAGAGCACAGGGAGCACTGCTTAGGAAATACTGTTCCATGTGTGTTTTCTTAGGTTATACAATTGCCTATAAATGTATGGAAAATATTCCTCGGGGATTACAATCTCCCAGTGTTACAAAATTGAAAGGAAATGGCTTTTTGAGAAGGGGAGTGCAATTTTGCTTTACAGGATAAATAGCTGCTCTTTCGGTCTGTGCAAAGCAGGTTTTTCCGGGCCATGTGGTTAAAAGTGTTATTGTTTGGGCTTTGTTTTGGAAGCAGTGGTTGCCACTGGGTCATTTGGGATGGACAGAAGTGGAGGTTTCCTGCTGATGGTGTGTTTGTTACAGTGGATAACCTGCGTGGATGAGGATGATGGTTCTTTGAATGTTTTATAACATCACTGTGGGGTTCTTGCCAGTCTTCTGTGACTCTCAGCCACATGATCTTGACGTTACATTAGACATGTTCAGCAAGAAGTAAAAATGCTGGCAGGTGTGTAAGGCTCTGTTCAAGAAAACATTTGATGCTTTCCAGTCTGTCTTCCCAAGACAGTGCTGGAGTTTGGATCATGGAGCTTCGGTGGGGTGTTGGCAAGTGCAAAGAGCTCCGTGTATTCACGGCCCCGTTTGCTTCCTTGCAGCTCTGCAGTGGCAGCCGAACTCCCTGACAGCACTCGGCAGGTCACACCTTCACCGTGCTCCTGCAGGGGTGAGTTTGCTGGTCCCTGGACCCACGTCTGCTCAAAGGCATTTGTCAGCCTGGGGCAGACTCCCCGTTCGGCAGGCTGGGGGCAGTGCAGCTCCAGGAATTCCTGCCCCTTTCAAGTCACTCTCTTGCCTGAGCTTAGAAAGGCATCATTTCCCATTTTGATTATTTTGACAATTTCTTTCACCCTATCCTAGAATCCCAAGCTGGTTTGGGTTGGAAGGGACCTTAAAGGTCATCTGGTTCCAACCCCCTGCCATGGGCACGGACACCTGCCACTAGATGGGTGTTTGGGAGACAACTGGGCAGGGGCGCCTTGGTGAGGAGGTGATGGGAGGCAGTGGGTAGCAGTTCCACAGGCTGCTTGGGTCTTCCGATCCCACTTGGTGCCCTCATGGCATATTTACAGGTAGATATTTGCATGGAAAAGTCCTACTTTGACAATTTGACATTGAGATTAGTAAAATTAATTTCTGTTCTGAGGATTGGGCTCAGCTTTTCTGTGTGGAATTTGCTTCTGGAAGTAATACAAATACCTTTTGTTTGCAGTATGCTTTATTAATTGATGAAGGTATGTGAAAGGGAACTTGACAATAAACCAAATACCAGTCATAGAAATTTATAGCAAATGCAGTTTAATCACTGTAGTTTGTGTGACTACTCTTAGATGAAGACATTCTTTCAAATAACCAGTGTTTTATGGTGCAGCAGTGTATTGGGGAGCAGATTGATGAGGTTTCCATTTTGGTTTGCAAGCTTCATTCATGATATTTGTTTCTGTTAAGTTTGATTTAACTACATCCTCTGTTGAGAAGTCACCCTGCAGTTCCTTACAAGATAAACTGAGTTCCACACAGTCTATCTCAAAACACTGTACTGGGTTAGCTGCCTCGGGTTCTCATCTGATTCAGCGTCCTTTCTTCTTGGAATGGGAGAACTGTGAATTTCCCCATTTTTACTACTGCTGCCTGCTGAGGTATTTACCAATGAGGGCTTGGAGGGAAATACAAAAGTTCCGTGCAGCAGCAGTCACCAAATCGTGTATATCATCTGGTTTGCCCTTTAGTTCAGATGGAAACAAAGCTTAGTGTTTAATGAGAAGTTTCTGGAAAGCCCCACGTTGGGTTTTTCTGGGTTCCCTGCCTGTGGTGTGAAATCCAGCTCAGCCTCGTTAGAGGGCACTCTAGAATCACACTTGGGAGCTGCTGTCAGCAGCATTCCCACGTATTCTACAGGGGAAAGTCCTGATGCCAAGTTAACTTCCAGACTAGAAAGTGTGGAGTGAAAACTCCAGAGCAGAGAGTGTGAAGCCTGAGAGGGATTGACCTATATAGAATCACAGACTGGTTTGGTTGGAATGGACCTTAAAGCTCATCCAGTTCCAGCCCCCTGCCATGTGCTTTCTTGTTGCCCACTTTGATATCTTGTGATGCAAGGCAAGATTGAGTTTGTTGCAGTCTGATTTAGTGCATGGGCCTTTACCCCATGAGCTGCCTTGATCCTGAATGTATATCCATTTTGGAACTTTTTTTTTTGGTATAATTACCATCATCTTGAAAGTGAACTCTTTAAAAACAATCATTTGTTTCAGAAACTCTTGGGGTTTAATAGCAGCCTTTACATCGGTCCCTTCTGTGCCTCTGACAAATAGCTTATTATTTATTTCACTTCCCTTCTGTAGTAAAGAGCATAGAGATTTTACTGTAGTGATAGGACAAGGGGTAACAGGCTAAAACATAAGCAGGGGAAGTTCAGATTGGATATAAGGAAGAAGTTCTTTACTGTAAGGGCGGTGAGGCACAGGAATAGACTGCACAGGGAAGTTGTCAATGTTCCATCCCTGGTGGTGTTCAAGTCCAGGTTGGACAGAGCCTTGGGTGATATGGTTTAATGTGAGGTCTCCCTGCCCGTGGCAGGGGGGTTGGAAGTGGATGAACCTTCCCAACCCTAACTATTCTATGATTCTATGATTTTTACCTTGGGAGAATTAATATTTGTAAATGTGCTTTGAAATCTGAAGTGGTTTAGAATGTTTAAGAAATATGATTAGAATATTGAAGAAAGCAGGAGTCAGGGAAGTCAAATCTAAGACGGTGAGTATTGTTCACTTTGATGAAACTTTGGTGCTGCTTCTGTTCTGGCAAGATTATAGAGCCAGATCATTTACATGACTTCTGACTTTTCTTGAGTGTTTTAGGCTTCACCAAGGAGAAGCATTCTTCATATGCAGGAGTCAGATTGTCTGTAAACATAAACACAATCTGAACGTTGTCCAAAACATGCCATGTTTTGCTTTAAAACAAAGCATACCAGGCCAGTGCCACTTGAAACGCTTTTCTGAGTAATTAGCACTGAATCACACCCACACTGGGCAGGCTTGGCAAAACCATAGTCCAGGTTTCCTGTGCTGGAACCATGCCTACATAGCATAAACCTCAGCTTTAATGTGTTGCTTTACTTAGCCTCAAAATTCCCACTTCTTCATTGGCATTACTGCTAGTAGCTGGGTTATAAAATCATAGAATGGGTTGAAAGGGACCATAAAGCTCATCCAGTTCCAACCCCTGCCACAGGCAGGGACCCCTTCCACTGGAGCAGCTTGCTCCAAGCCCCTGTGTCCAACCTGGCCTTGAGCACTGCCAGGGATGGGGCAGCCACAGCTTCTCTGGGCACCCTGTGCCAGCGCCTCAGCACCCTCACAGGGAAGAGCTTCTGCCTAAGAGCTCAGCTCAGTCTCCCCTCGGGCAGGTTCAAGCCATTCCCCTTGGCCTGTCCCTACAGGCCCTTGTCCCAAGCCCCTCTCCAGCTTTCCTGCAGCCCCTTTAGGCACTGGAGCTGCTCTAAGGTCTCCCCTTCAGGAGCCTTCTCTTCTCCAGGCTGCCCCAGCCCAGCTCTCTCAGCCTGGCTCCAGAGCAGAGCTGCTCCAGCCCTCACAGCATCTCCATGGCCTCCTCTGGCCTCACTCCAACAGCTCCACGTCCCTCTTGTGCTGGGGGGGGGGGGGGCAGATTCTCCCCAGAGTGCAGCAGAGGGAGAGAATACCCTCCCTGAGCTGCTGCTCATGCTCTGGAGGTGCAGCCCAACACATGGTTTTGTGTAGCCACTATTTGGTGGTGCTTATGTGCATTTCACCTTTGACAGAAGCAGTGTTGTGTTGAGGATGTGAATTGAATGAGGTCATACAACAGGACCGTAAGAGCTGTGAGCATAAAACCGTTGTACGCCTGCCTGGCCATCTCCTTGCTGGGACATGTTCCTTCCAGCTGGGACTGTCTTTCTGGCCAGGGCTTTGGCTTTACTTAGAGGTGACAGCTTTGTCACCTGTGGCTTGAAGGCAGCAGACATTGAGAACTGGAGATTTTCAAAGCCAGCTGGCAGCACTTTGCTTGGTATCTTAAGGAACGATGTAGTGCTTCCATGAACTCTAATGGCCATGAGCCTCACCTCTCCACAAATAAAGCAGAATAATAAGAAAAAGTACTTGTCAGGCTATCTTCTTCCTCATCTAGTTGTTAATCTCCTCTATCACCTTCCCTTTCTGTCCGTCTGGTATGGCTCCTTGTTAGCTTTTTGGCTAGCATGGTTGCCTGGAGTGAGGAAGGAAAGTGGACATGTTCCTTCTCCCATGTTCTTTGGCGTCTGTCTTATCTGGAGGGTACTTGAAGAGGCAGCAGAAGCTGAGCAAAGACCCAGTGCCATGTGGGTGGCTGCAGGGCTGTGGAGGGACTCCTGTGGGCTGCAAGGCAATGGATCGCTGCAAGGCAAATGGTTCTTTTAATAAGGTGTTGGTAGGTTTTGCGCATCTGCCTTTGGGTGAGATGCAGGCAGAATAACCTGTATATGTCTCATCTCCCCCCACCTCTTGTGGGAGGGTCCAACATAAGCTTTCTGGGGCATCAGTGGGGCTGGGGGTTCTGTTTTAATGATGTTGAGGAGTTCAGCTCTTGCGATTTCTGTAAATGGTATTAGGAATGACATGTTCAATGACAGAGGTTTCAATCAAAATCCTCTCCCCCTCTCTTACACTCTGTACCATATTTAGATGCCCTCGCATGTATTTTACAACACATTTTGGGTGTTTTTACACACAGTTTGGGTGTTCTAAAAAGTGACAGTAATGAAGGAGCCAGTGACACTCACAGAACGTGCTGAAGAGCAGCTCCAGCGTGCTTGTATGAAACATTCCTTCTAGTGATGAGAAGCGTCTCCTACTAATATCTTCTCACAGAACATTCCTGTGGAACCGAAAGTTTATTTTTTTATGATGATTTATATTTGGCCTTTGTCATCCTTTGAAGACAAGCTGGAGCTGCATAATGGCATGTCTGTGGGGGTTAGCCAGTGCCATCTTCATAGCACAGTGTATTAAAGGTAATTAGTAGATGCTGGTGTCGTCTTTGCTCTAGCTCTGGAATCGGTTCCAGGTACCATCTGATTTCTATTTAAAAATGGCAGTTTTAGTTCTTGGACCCATCTATAGTTACCATCAGTGCTGTACTTCGTGTTCTGCCAAGGCCTCCTTATTTTTCACTGTGCATCAGCAGGGGCTTCTCTTCTTGGGTTGTGGAGACCAAATGTGTGTTTCTGGGCAGTACTGTGCAGATGAGGTGTGACTGGAGTTCCCTGGGCATCTCTAGACTGACACAATGATGTGGCAGGTTATTGTGTGGGTCTCAGTAGACCTTGTGTGACAAATTGCTGTGTGATAGAGGTAAGTAGTGATAACTGGAGAGTGTTTCCTACTTAAACAAGATGTGGAGCAGCTCTGTGCTGGAGCCAGGCTGAGAGAGCTGGGCTGGTTCAGCTGGAGAAGAGAAAGCTCCTGAAGGAGAGACCTTAGAGCAGCTCCAGTGCTAAAGGGGCTACAGGAAACCTGGAGAGGGGCTTGGGACAAGGGCCTGTAGGGACAGGCCAAGGGAATGGCTTGAACCTGCCCAAGGGGAGACTGAGCTGAGCTCTTAGGCAGAAGCTCTTCCCTGTGAGGGTGCTGAGGCGCTGACACA